TTACTGAAGTTCAGGTGCCAAATATGAAGGCCAGTGAAGTCAAAGAGAGCGGAACAATCTAATGACTCTTAGAAATGAGTAGTGGACATTTTTTAGGCTAATGGAATTGTTAAAAAAAGCAAGGAGGGCTGAGCACTGCCCTAGGGAACATGTACCAATGCAAAAAAAAAAAATGTTTAAAAAGGTCAGTTTGGTGGAGAGCAGTGATTTTATTAATGTTTAAGGTGAATCACAAAAAATGCACAATTCCTTTAAATAGGTAACATTATTATTATTATTATTATTATTACAGGACTTACGGTATATAGCGCCGACAGTTTGCTCAGTGCGTTACATTATGGAGGGAGACAGTACAGTAACAATACAGTTCAATACAAGAGGGATTAGAGGGCCCTGCTCCTTGGAGCTTACATGCTCCCAATGTTGCAGCCGCTACGGGCAGAAGTTCCCTGTACTAACTGTCACTTTTTAAATACAGCTCCGCCCACATGGCCACTTCATTCACTCACTCCGTTCTGTGAATGAACGAACTACAAGTCCCGACATCCTTATCGGCTGTTGGCTTGTAGTTCTCAAAGAACTACTATAGTGCTGTGGAGCACTGGAGCAATTTATTGAATCTTCCTATCAGTATATCCCGTATATATCAGTATATAGACTTGCAAGGCTCCAGCGATCTGCTGATTGCTGGTGCAATGCTTTACAGGTTCCAGCAGCCAAAAATAATAGAAAATAAAACAATAGAACAGAATAGAGGAAAAAAGAACAGAATAGAACAGAAGCAACGAGCATTGCATCATTTTGGTTTTGCTGGATATAGCACCATTTCAAAATTGAGAAAGCATCTGATCACACCGATCTTAGTGTAATCAGATGCTTTAAAGGCAGAAGAGAGAGCTAGAGTCTAATAGACCCCAGATTTCTCAGAAAAGGGTACCTGTCACTGCATATTACTATCATATGGGATATTTACAATCTCCGTGATAACAATAAAAGTGATTTTAAAAAATGAAAGGAACAGTGTAAAAAGTAAAAAAAAAGCAAAATAAATAATGAAAAAAAAAAAATGTTGGTCCTATGTCAGTATGTAAACAGAGATTGCACCATGCATGTGAGGTATCACAGCAAACATCAGATCAAGGGCAGTAACTCTAACACTAGACCTCCTTTGTAAATCTAAAGTGGTAACCTGTATTGGCTTTTTAAAGCGTCGCCTATGAATATTAAAAATGTAAGTAGTTTGCTGCCCTTTTAAAGCATGTCATTTTTGGTATATATTTACTCAGCGTAACATCATATTTTTTATTTTATCAAACAAGTGGGTAATATATTGTATTTTTGTGCATTAAAATTCAAAAATGTGCATTTTTTCGAAAACATTTGCGTTTGAAAAATTGCTGCACAAATACTGTGTGATATAAATATTTCAACACCCACCATTGTATTCTCTAGGGTCTCTGCTTTAAAAAACTATAAAATGTTTGGGGGTTCAAAAAAAATTTTTTTTTCATGTAAACAAAAAGTGTCAGAAAAGGCTTGGTTGGTTAGAAGAGTGATTGATGTGTGGCATAAGCTTCTAATGTTGGCCCTGAAATGCCAGGATAGTAAGAACACCCTCCCAAATGACCCCTTTTTGGAAAGTAGATACTCCAAGATATTTCTGGACACTGGTGAACAAAAACAGACAAGGGCGCACTCTCATCGTGCATTACCGTGGTGACCCACGTATTTATTGAATAAACAAATGGATGTATACTCACAAACCAACAGAAATAAAAGCAGAAAGTGTAGTCCGCAATGACAGCGGATGCAATGCTGTGCCCTTGATAAGGATGAGCTGACGCGTTTCGGGAGATGAACCCCCTTCCTCAGAGTGCGCCAGATTTCCCAATGTTTGAAGGGCAGCACCTCTCTGCTTGGCATTCTCTATTTCCTATAGTCTGCATGAAGATTTGAGCGCTGGTTTCGTTTGTTTGACTCCAAGGTGTTTGCTAAGGGGCATGGTGAGTATTTTGCAGATCTCATTTGTCACCACAGGATTTTGGAAACTGAAGAAAGAAAACAAAAATTTATTTTTTTCTTTTCTTTTTTTCTTTTTCAAAACCCTGTGACAAAAATAATATCTGAAATATACTCCCTTTGCCTCTTATCAAAGCCTTGGGGTGTCTACTTTCCAAAAAGGAGTCATTTGGGGGGGTGTTTGTACCATCCTGGAATTTCAGGGCCTCCAAAACTGTGATAGGTAGTGAGGAAGAGACATGAGCAAATATACCCTTTCAAAGCCTGAAGGTGGTCATTGGATTTTGAGGGCCTGTATATGTCTAGACTGCCAAAAAGTCTCTCACATGTGGTACGTCAATACTCGGAAGAACTAGCAGAATGTGTGTTGGGATGTTATTCTAATATACCCATGGCATGTGTGAGCAATATATGATTAAGCAATATAATCAGCAATATATGTGTAAAAAGAAAAAAAATTGTCATTTTACAAAAATTTGTGGCAAAAAATGCAATCTTCCATGGACTTAGTATGCCTCTCTGCAAATTCCTTGGGGTGTCTACTTTCCAAAAAAGGGGTCATTTTGTGCAGCTATTGTACTGCCCTAGTATTTTAGCACCTAAAGAAATGTGATAGGCAGTCAGAAAAAAGCTGCATAATTTCCATTGTATACACCATAGTTTGTAGATGCTATAACTTTCACACAAACCACTTAATAAACATGTATTGGGATTTTTTTTTTACCAATGACATGTAGCAGAATACATTTTGGCCTAAATTTATGACAAAATTTGAGTTTATTGGATATTATTTATAACAGAAAGTAGAAAATACAATTTGTTTTCTAAATTTTTTTATTTTTTTCATTTATAGCACAAAAACTAAATAACACCCAGGGGTGATCAAATATCACCAAAAGAAAGTTCTATTTGTGTGAAAAAAAAATAACATAAATGTGATCTCGGTACAGCATTGCATGACCATGCAATTACACCAGTTGAAATAGCGTAGTGCCTGGTCAGCCCCCGAAGGTTTTGACTGACAGCAGTAGGAACCAATGGCTCCATCTGCTGTCCTGTGAGAAGAGGAAGGGAGAGCAGCGCTGAAACATACGGGCATATTGCTGGATCGAGGGAGGAAAGTGTTTGAAGGGGGAAGAAGAGATAATGGGATGTTTTTTACTTCAACACAGGGAATACATTACAGTAATAAACATTTTACCTTCAGCACCACTTTAAGGCAGACCTTTAACCTAAGCTAAGTGTCATATTGCCCTCCCTCTCTCAAAACTGGATATAATTTTTTCGTTTAAAAAGAAATGTGGACTTTTTTTCACATTTATACTTACCTAGGTGTATGCTGCATCAATTCAATGCTGCATCTGTCCCCTGCCGGCTCTAAGTGTGAGAACTCAGCGATCACATGAGTTCTCACAACCGCTCCGAGCAGACTGACGGTGACTGTCAGTCACGGCTGTCTGCTCTGCCCTCCCAAGCACTCACTGGAGCACTGGGCTGTGAAGGGGGAGGGAGCAGCTGGCTCAGGCTCTCAGTGGCTCACTGAGAAGTTGAACCAGGTGCCGCTTCAGACTCTGGAGTGGATCCCGACTTTGAAGTCGGGATCTTCCCCAGCCTGGACCAGCTGAGTGACGTCAGCTGACAATGGACTTCAGCCTGCCGGTGCTGAAACCGGGTCACAGGACTGCAGAACAAACTGCGCTCCTGTGATCCACAGAGCTTTGGCTGTACTTTTCCTTTAAGAATGTTTCTGTGCTGCAAAGCAGCACTTTATTATTATTATTACAGGATTTACATAGTGTCAACAGTTTGCGCAGCGCTGTACAAAATGAAGGTAGACATTACAGTTACAATACCATTTGGTACAAGAGGAAACAGAGGGCCCTGCTCGTTAGAGCTTACAATCTAGGAGGAAGGGTTGAGTGATACAAAAGGTAATAGCTGTGGGGGGATGATGGAGGAAATAAATGGTGGTTTACTAGATAGAAGAAGTATAGGCTTCTTTAAAGAGAAAGGTTTTCAGGGATCATCTAAAGGTGGATAGATTAAGAGAAAGTCGGACAGATTGGGGTAGGGAGTTCCATAGGATGGGAGAAGCTTGGGAGAAGTCCTGGAGGTGAGTATGCGTGGAGGTGACATGTGAACTAGAGAGCAGAAGGTCTTGGGAGGATCGAAGAGAGCATTTTGGTTGATAGTAATTGCTCATTTATCATTTCTGTCTCCCCACCTCCCAGATTATGCGGGTACACAGGTGTGCTGCAGGCCAGACAAATCCCTTAGACATATTTGCACACAGGAAAAAACAAAAGAAAAAGAAAGTAGACTACACACCTATAAGGCTTCCCTCAAACCAATATTTATTGTATATCAATGAGACATAAAAGGTAAAAACACATTGCATCGGAGATACAGGAACTGTTCTATGTCATCCCCCCACCCACACAGGAAGGAACCTCCCAAGATGAGCACCCCCAAAATGGCAACCAGGGAAGGTGACTAATCCGGTATTTACACACAATTCATAATGGTGGTGCCAGAGAGGGGGCAGAGCCATTAAAGAGGGGACTGAAGTTCCTCTTTAAAAACTTTCCCAAAAGTCAACAAAGCAATATAATGGCTCATCTTTCAGATTTGTCCAAGAATCTTTTGTATATATCCTTATTCACTTAAACACAAGGACAACATACAGTACAAGTTACAGGGACACTGTGCCCAGGTGGGAAAAAGCTCAGGACTGTCTGGTTGTGGACTTAACTAGTTGCCGACCGCAGATAGACGAATGACGACTGCACTGTGGCCGGCAAGTTCTGGGTGGAGGTCATATGACGTCCTCCCAGAACGCTCTCTCCTGCGCGCGCCCCGGGGGCACGCACCTGGCGATCTCCCTGATCGCTGTGTCCTACGGACACAGCTGATCATGTGATGTGGTAAAAGGCCAATCACAGCGGCATTTTATTATGTGATAAGCTGTGTCCAGTGACACGCTGATCACAGGGAAATGCAATTGCCGGTTCTGTTCTCGGCTGCACTTTCCTCACACTGTCAGAGCGTGAGGAAAGTACTGCCGAGAACCGGCAGTTGTCAGAGCAGGGATCGGGACCGATTATCAGGGCACTGATGATCAGTGCCCTGATGATCGGTGCCCAGCAGTGCCACCCACCAGTTACGCCCACCTGTGCCCAGCAGTGCCGCCCACCTGTGCCCAGCAGTGCCCAGCAGTGCCATCCACCAGTGCTTATCAGTGCCACCCACAAGTGCCCAGCAGTGCCACCCACCTGTGCCACACACCTGTGCCCAGCAGTGCCAGCTACCTGTGCCCAGCAGTGCCACCCACCAGTTACGCCCACCTGTGCCAAGCAGTGCTGCCCACCTGTGCCCAGCAGTGCCACCTACCTGTGCCCAGCAGTGCGCAGCAGTGCCACCCACCAGTGCTTATCAGTGCCACCCACAAGTGCCCAGCAGTGCCACCCACCTGTGCCACACACCTGTGCCCAGCAGTGCCACCTACCTGTGCCCAGCAGTGCCACCCACCTGTGCCCACCAGTGCCACCCACCAGTGCCCAGCAGTGCTGCCAGTCAGTGCCACCAATGAGTGCCCAGCAGTTGTGCCAGTCAGTGCCCAGTAGTTGCGCCAGTCAATGTGCTATCAGTGCTATCAGTACACATCATCAGTGCCAGCTATCAGTGCCACCTATCAGTGCTGCCTATCTGTGCCACCTCATTAGTGCTGCCTATCAGTGCTGCCTATCAGTGCCCTTCAGTGCTGCCTATCAGTGCCCATCAGTGCTGCCTATCAGTGCCCATCAGTGCCACCTATCAGTGCTCATCAACATGAGGCACATCAACGCACATCAGTGAAGGAGAAAAATTACCTGTTTGCAAAATTTTATAATAAAAACAAAAAAAACACTTTTTTTTTTTTACATTTTTTGCTCTTTTTTTGTTTATAGCGCAAAAAGTAAAACACCCAGTGGTGAGTAAATACCACCAAAAGAAAGCTCTATTTATGAGAGAAAAAATGATAAAATTTCATATGGGTACAATCTTGCATGATCGCACAATTGTCATTCAAAGTACCACAGTGCTGACAGCTGAAAACTTGTCTGGTAAGGAAGGGGGTATAAGTGCCCTGTAGGCAAGTGGTTTAATTTTTAAAATGGAAAAAGGTGATTTACTTTTTTATTTTCAAGTTTGTGATGTGAAACAAATATTAGCATCCTTGGAACAAAATCCCACATCAATTGCAGTTACAGAAAGACATTTTCTGATATCTATCACCATCTAGTGGTAATGGTGTTTTACGGGAAGCAGACTAGACAAGTATGCTGGTAAATATATTGTGCATATATAAAGGCGTATTCACAAAGCAGCAAACAATCTATTCACAAGTCATCAGATGGATATTTACCTGTTGGGTCATTCATTGTTTTTCATATTTGTTGAATTGGGTAGCATTCACCTTCTTTGGTTGCATATTCTTCAGCAAGAAAGCAACATCTTAGCAATATTTGCTGAATTTAAAACCGAGAAAATGGTACAGTTCTTAGTAAAGATCCCAACTGTCCTTCATTTGGAGGGATTGTCCCTCTTTTGAGACAAACCCCTCTCTACCTTGTGCAGCTTCAACTGTCCCTCTTTTTTGGTCTGATGTTTACATCTCTATACGAAATGCACTATTTTAGTATCAAAAGTGTTATAGTGCCTTAATATTTTTGCCCCGGCCTCTATATTACTGTATTTGCTATTTTGAAAATTTTGAAAAGTTAATGAAAAAATCGAAAACCACTGTTTTGATTTAGCTAATCATTCTATGCACATTAGATCTTTGTGGTCCATGTATCTGGGGCTGTGGCAGGAACATGTCCTTTGCCTACATACTGTGTGCTAAAAAGTGTCTCTCTGTATCGTTTCAGAAAGTTGGGAAGTATGCTGTTAGGCCTGATTCTTACATAAGATGATTGGTTTCATCAATGATTCACCTATGGAGAACCCACAATCCTGCTGCTCTTTCACCACACAAAATGGAAATGACAGTGGATGCAGGTGAACCTCGAGCACATCCCTGGATCAAGATCGGGCTCAGGTAAATATTTGGGGGGGAGTTGACAAGAGAAGGTTTTATACCTTAATGCAGAGAATGCTTCAGTGTTTACAACCACTTTAAGCATGAGAAGAAAAAGTGCATAAAATTCATATCCTATTCTTTTATTAGGATCGTTTTTGTCCTGGGAAATATAGAACATACAATTATTGACAAAAAAATGGCTAACGTGGAGGGGGGTGTTTAGGGAGTATATTACAAACTGTACCACGGTGCAGACATTTCTAGCTACAGCTTTAATGATGCACATATATGTCTGATTTACACTTCCATTAAGCTTAGAAAACTTTTAAACATGTACATTATATTCCACCTATTATTTTTTTATTATAGACATTTACAGTCTATAGCACCAACAGCTTATGCAGTGCTTTGCATGCTATGCATTCACATCAAGTAACTTACAATCTAAGGTCCCTTTCTCACATGCATATATAAAAATGAAGTAATACCCCCGTAGGAGTTGCTAAGTTTTGGGTCCACCTATAGTCCTGCACAGCTAGGCAACATGCTTTTTTCCGCATAGACCTGCATCCAGTAAAAAGTAACCAGTCTTTGAGATTGGTTTTTTGGATTTTATTAGGGGAATTGAACTCGGATGGGGTAAGAGATGTATGGGATGCCCAAAGGGAATGGAAACTGAGGACAATCTTCCTGGAACTATGTACAAGTCTCTTTAGACAGCAAAAATTATCTTCTGGAGAGCTAGCTAGCATCTCCTGGTGTACCACCCCAGACCCCAGATCCTCCTTTATCCCGCTTTACTGGGCGAATCCCTGGACAGGGGATACAGTGTCTGTCACTTTAAATAGAAGACAGTTCCAGGTAGCAAGCTAACCCAGTTTCCTACTAGAGTTCCCCTTTCTGGCCCAGGGGGGTGTAGGTCTACTCACTCAATCCTCTGTCTATGAGCTGATGGGTTGGTGGCTGCTCTCAGGCCGCTCCTTCCCTGCTGCACAGATGGTCCTCTTTCTGGGGGCCAGTGAGGTCCTAAACTTTCCTCCTTTCCAGCTCCACTGCCTGTAGGTGAACCCCTTGCCATCTGGGCCTCCTCCCAGGCTCCTGCTCTCCAGAAACTCACTTCATCTTCCACCCAAACTCTCCTGCTGCAAAACAGGCTCCACCACATTTGAACGTTTCCCTGATCCCATGCCAAGCCTCCTGCTTGGGTCTTGGCCAAGGTACTCCAAGAGTGCAGGCCATCTCCCCCTCACCCCCGCCCACTGCTTCTAGAATCTTTTCCAAGGTTCTAGAGCAGGGGGAGGGTATTAGGGAACTTGCCTGCAGAGCCTCTCAGCTCTGGCTGAAATTTGATCTCCCTCTGACTATCACCACTTTGACTAACAATTGAACACTAGCACTCCCTAGCTATCTAGGAGGGTGCTACACAAACACAAGTACTACGGCAAATTTAGACAAGCGTCATGAATCTATTAGCTTGTCTTTGGAGTGTGGGAGGAAAGTGGAGTACCAGGAAGAAAGCACTCAGCCACTAAGCATCCCTATGTTAGTCCCAGTGTAGCAATAATGAAGATGCAGTTTGCCAAACATGCACTATGCATTTATAGTCGACCAAAAGACTAAATTTGGTTGCAAGATATAGCATTCACAAGCCTTCTCCCAAATCACCACCTGGTAGGCACAATGTAAGGTGTATCCAAATTAATCCATAATCTTTGCCTACCTTCTCACAATGTATGCTAATGCATGTTAATCGAGTTGTAATTACTATAAATGAGTAGTAAGCAGAATTCTGTGAAGGAGTTAGCTATAGGACTAAGATGCCTTTGTTTGGCCACAATACAGCTACAAAACTAGGGCTACTTATCATTGGCCCCTGGAAACTGTATATGCCGTCATATCTTTTAATACTGTACCTCGCGACACGGAAAATAAAGTGGCAACTTCAGTCACAGAGGCACCGCAGGTAAGCGAGATGCCCTCTTTGAAGCTCAGTAACCTATAACACGACTCAGTATGTCTAGCAGCGCAAGCAGAGATTAATGAAAGTGAGGCTTTCCACCTCTTAGCTAGGCATCTCATCACAAAGTGGAAGCAAAAGAATGTTATGTCACTTCCACTTTCAATGCAAAACATGTGGTCACTTTCACACCTGCAAATCAAGTAGTGTTTCCTGTACATCAAAATCAAAGGAAGTACCTGCTATCAAGTGCAACTACCCTACACTAATATCATGAAATACAATACAATCTTGGATGTACTATGGAGTTGGTTTTCCAAAGGTAAATGGACTGTTCATGCTGCAAGGGAAGTTGCACATTGCAAAGGAATTTTCCCCAAGAGTTCTCCTGATTTACATCATCCAGTCATGTGCAAGCAAAAATTTTTTTTTTTTCCTTAAATGTGATTGGGTATTCCTTCAAAAATTAAATTTCACCCCATTCACTTTTTTAAAACTTCTATATTTCTTTTAGAAGCAAAACAGAATAAGAGTTAACTTTTCATTTGCATGTTACTTTTCAAAGCTAGTTTCACAGCTGACATCAATGTCATTGTTGATGGCTCCAACATTTACATATTTTTATGGTCAAAAAGTATTCATCAGTTACAGGAAAATGTCTTTTATTCTTTAGTACAGTAATATGTATTAATTCACTAACAGACTAAATACTGCCATCATAAAATATATTGATGTCAAAACTTGTCACTTACCATTAGAATGTATTGAAACAAGAATTTAAATGAGCAGTTTAAGTTTGTGCTTCACCAAATGAGATTTTAGTTTAAGTTCATAATCTATTTTTTTTAGTTTAAGATTCATAATCTAATTTGAACTGTATTAAAAACTATACTTGGAATGGAAAAAAAGTTTGCCTTTAAAGTTTTCTTGTCAGTATATATTTATACCAGTCAAATCCTTTTTATCCAATGTTCCATCTGCATTCTACATGATGGACATGCTTTTATAGGCAGAGATATATACAGTAATTAATTACAAGGAAGCATGCAAAGAATTAAAGAGAACAAGTTATAGGGAAACATGCAAAGAAATAAAGAAGACAAGGGTGCACAGAATTGAAGGAAACT